CCTGGAGGGCCTCCGCCGGGCCGCCCCGGCCAGCGGCTACCTCACCTTCGAGAGGTTCGTCCTGGGCTTGAGAAGCTCGCTCCTCAGCCCGGAGAAAGGCAGTCCCAGGGGGGCGGCGACGGCTCCGCACCCCGCCGCAGCCCCCCTTTCCAAAAGTCGAGGGGAGATCAGGGGCCCCGATCCGGAGAGGGTTGCTGGTAGAGGCGGCGCGGGCGCTGCTTCTCGTAGCCTCGAGAAGATCTCCGTCGAGGGAACGCAGGACCCGATCCAGAGCAAGCGAGCCGGTGAGGAGGAGGCTGGAGATTAGAGTAGACCTGCCCCCGTCCCCCAACCTCACTTTGTGTAAGGGGCGACTCACTAGCTGCAGGCACTTAAGCTGCTCTCCTCTGCTTGGGGTTATCATTGGGTTTTGCCCCTAGTTTGATTTGAATGCATTCATGTGTTGCTTTGTAGACAGCGCCTCTGAGCGCATGCAGAGTCCCCTTTTTCATCCCTGCCCACCTGCTCTAATAAAGCAAGGCCAGGCATTGCTTATTTGTTTAAAGTATTGTACAGTATTTCTGACTGGCCCTATAGCAGCAGAGCTGAGGCTGACAAACCATCAGGATTTTTTACTCAGGGATAAAGCGGTGATTTCCTTAATAAAACTTGTTCCTCTTAAACTGGAAGAACCCTATCCTCCTGGGTTCCTTCTTTGCCCCCAGAGCATCCGTGAGATCCCTCTAATTGGGTTGTTTCTCCTTTAGCACCTCTGCACATCCTCGGATCTCTGTGCCAGCATTAAACTGGCCACAAGTGGTTCACTGTATGCCAGTGTAAACCTAATGTTTCTCTTCCTCACTACCCACAGATTTCGTGCAGGGCTTGGGGTGGGGGAGAAGAGGATTGGAAAAAGATTGGAGGAAAGTTCCAGAAACCATATTTCCTTTGAGGGAGTTTATTTATTTAAAAAGAGATTCAGGTTTCTAGTCCTTATGGAGAACCAACAACCAACTTATGCCTCAATAGAGCATTATGTGAGGTCACTTTGGTTGGAGTGGGGAATCCGTTGGGTTTTCTGGAAGATCAAGGTTTTTGTCTTGAGTAAATTGCCAGTCTTACCAGATGACCTAGCACCTGGGTCTCAACCTGTCCTACCTCAGAGGGGTGTTGTGAAGAGAAAGTAGGGAAGAGAAAAAGCACAAGCCCAACCTTGAAGTTCTTTGAAGGAGGTGTAGGCTGTACATAAACACTGTTCTTTGTGCTCTCTCAACCTGTCCTACCTCAGAGGGGTGTTGTGAAGAGATAGTAGGGAAGAGAAAAAGCACAACCCCAACCTTGAAGGAGGTGTACGCTGTACATAAACACTGTTCTTTGTGCTATCCCCTGAGAGATTTGAGGGTCGTAATCTTAAAAATGAACTTTTCCAAGCTGTAGGGTGGAGCACGTGTTGTCACACTCCTGCTGGTGGGCCGGGTGAGACACTGGGCTTCTGTCTGATCCGTCAGGGCTTCTGCTCCATCTACAGCAACGGAATCCTGTGGGATCCGGAAGGCGGCAGGATGGTCGCAAAATGAGGGCGCGACGAAGGCCGCAGCAATGGAAGCACGGAGGCAGCCCCGGAGCCGAGGCGAACACCGAAGGCACACCATCACCAACGGCGTAGACTACAGTGTGGTACGGAAATCTCGTGTGACGCTCGGGGGTGGGTGTGCATGTGTGAAGGTCTGGCGTCTCACCTTTTCCTCCATGACCTTCATGATCCTTGAAGTCACTGGAGAGGAAGATAATGTCATCCATCAATTGGTTCTTGCAGGAAGTCCCTCTTGAGCTGACACAGAAAATAAGTGACTACCTAAAGCCACCTGGTCCATTGTCATAGCTCAGTGAGGACTAGAAGCTTGGATCTCCGGGCAGGTTGCTCCCAAGCCTCTCACAGACCCAATTATCCACATTTTTTTCTATTCATCGTGTCACTGGGGCATTAAGAAGGGGTTCCTCTGGATATGCTTCTGTTGTCGTCTTCTTATCATTCCCGTTGTATGGTTTGTTTTTTTAATTGTGGGGTGGCTTTTTCTGGAAGCTTTATGGCAACATTTGTGCAAGGAATAGGACCAGAGATGGCGGAGAAAGAGAGGAGGGGGGATTGTAGAACCAAAGGAACCCTCGAAAACCGTAGTCTAAGAAAAGGATTTCTTCCAGCCTGTAATCTGTGCGGATATGGGGAAACGACACACTTTGAAGCCACACTTTTCAGCTTTATTGGAAACTGAATCAAAGCGCTTGGTTTCAGGCTCGTAAAATATGTTACGGCAGTGCAAAGCAGCAATTAGAGAGGGGTTTGGCTTGGTGAGGGTGGCTGGAATGGAACCTCTTTGTCCAAGAGCAGTCTACCTGTGAAAGGGCAAGCTTCTGTGAGGAGCTGGCCGTGTGGAGAGCAAGGCCTGTTGTTGTCTTCGTGGCCCCTTTGTTGCTGGGGGGCTCTGCCTCTGTGGGGTGAATTTTTGATAGGCAGGCGGGCATTGACCCCACGTTCTGTCTCGGCAGCTGAAGCAGATGAAGGAGGTAGAGAAGGCGAAGGACATCCTCCTGCAGGGGCTGGAGCTGGTGGATCGGGCCCGAGAGTGGTATCACCAGCAATTCCACCTCCTCCAGGAGCACCAGAAGCAACTGGGCAGAAGCAAGACTCCTGGCGTGAGTTCCTGTTATTTGCTTTTCCAAGGTTTCTGTCTAGGCAGGTGACTCAGTTGCTTTACCCAAGAGTGCTGTGACGCCCGGAAGGATAGCACATTTTCTTTGGCACAAGCTTTCAGGAACCACAGCCCACCTCTGCAGAAGGAGCAGCGTGGGCTGCAGTCCACGGAAGCTTGTGCCGAATAAACATGTAAAGGCAAATCTTTTTTAAAAAAAATTATTTTATTTTATTTTATTTTGGTAACTTAATTCTGCTCATCCTGGGGAGCAGTGCTCAGCCTGCGTTCCTATATTTTTCTTTTCTTCTCCCAGGACTTGCTAGCAGATGGAAGCCACCTCAGCCACCTCCTGCCCAAACTCCAGGACCTGAACCGCTGCCTCTCCGAGCTGCTATCTCTTTCGGCAAAGGTGAGACCCACACACCACCCTGGCCAGGTAGGCCGGTTGCCCTGCAGACGTAAAGGAGGGGAAGCTGGGAAGGTAGCGAGGAGATCATCCTGATGCCCAGTTCTCTGTCAGACAGTTAGCAGTATTACAGCTCTACTGGGCAGTATGATTGTTTTTGTTGTTACTTAATTGGGATGCATTTTTTTTGCCATGCGGTTTATGTTCGGTAGCATCTGAATCCAACTGCCATATTTTTCTGTGCATAAGACTATAGATGCGGTTTATGTTCGGTAGCATCTGAATCTAACTGCCATATTTTTCTGTGTATAAGACTATAGTGTTGTCTAAAATCTCTAGACTAAAAGTTGAGGGTTGTCTTATACATGGAAGTAAGCTGAGGAGAGAACAAAAACAAGTGGAGGGGAAAGCAGGGATCAAAGCGATCCTGCGGCGCTTTGGATCCCTTTCCCCCTACACTTGCTAAGCCCCACTTAGATTTCTTAATTTGGGGTTAGAAAAGTGGGAGGGCGTGTTATACATGGCAGCGTCTTATACACAGAAAAATACGGTAAACAGAAAATATGTGAGGGCTTTGCAAGGGAGGCTGCTAAGGGGTTTGGGTACGGCAGCCTTTTTATTTGTGTGTCTATAAGGACTAGAAACTTGAATCTGTTTTGAAATAAATAAACTGAGCTTGGACTTCCAGTTAGCTACTGCTAGTGGCAGTTTCTGTGAATGCCTGCTGCTGTTTGGGGGTCTTCCCCCACCAGCCCTAGAAGAGGCCGGCTTTAATTCTCTCTCTCTCTCTTCCCCTCTCCCAACAGCCGCTGAGCCCGTGTCCTCCGGCCACAAAAGGCCCCACGCCAGCCACCACAACCTCCCCTCCTCTTTCTGGGCCGCAGCAGACCATCAATATGCTGAAGGAGCAGAACTGGCTCCTCACCAAGGTGAGTAGGGAGGGAGAATCAGGTTCCATCTGCCTTCTGTTGTTTTTTTTTAGGGGATTCTGGGAAATGTAGTCCAGCAAATAAGCTGACTCCTATAGGCTGGTCAGCAGGGGAGGAGAGGATTCCGAGTCTGACACGTTGAATTTCTATCCCACCTTTCTTTCCGTGATCTCAAGAGGGCTCTTTTGTATTCTTCCAATAACTGGGACTCAAGGCGGCTCATGATATGATTTAAAAAAAAAAATCTGATGTAGTTAAAAATACAAATTGTGTTTTCATCTTGTGGGTTTGTTTGTTTTTTAGACAGGGAATTATTTGTCTCACAGTGTGATCAGTAAAATAAATTACAGTGGTGCCTCGCATTACGATGTTAATTCGTTCCAGCGAAATCGCTGTAGAACGAAAACGTCGTAATGCGAAAAGAAAAAAACCATTGAAACGCATTAAAACCCGTTTAATGCATTCCAAAGGGCTGTAAACTCACCATCCAGCGAAGATCCTCCATAGGGCGGCCATTTTCGCTGCCTGTGCAGCGAGGAATCCATCCCAGAAAACAGCGGGGGGCCATTTTGTTTACCCGGCGGCTATTTTGAAACCGCCGATCAGCTGTCGGAAAATCGTCGTTTTGCGAAGACTCGGTTCCTGAAGCAGGGAACCGATCATCGCAAAGCGAAATTCCCCCATAGGAAACATTGTTTTGCGATCGCAAAAAGTTCATCGTAATGCGGTTTCGTCATTAAATGGGGCAATCGTAAAGTGAGGCACCACTGTATCGTGTTAAAAGAAGTGCCAGATTAAAATTGTTTAAAAGCACAAGACAGGGGGAGTAGGATAACTTTTGCTTCAGGCTCATTGCCGTCTAAAAAGAAAAAAAGGAACTTTTTCCAGCTCCGAAAGCCATCTAGTGTATTTCCAAGAAATGGGAAAGGGAGGATGAGATTTACAGCCGGCGCTGGGTTATTAACCCAGCTTTTCCTTCACTCTGCAGGAAGTAACAGAGAAAAGCGACCGGATCACCCAGCTGGAACAAGAAAAATCCACTCTGATCAAGCAATTGTTTGAAGCGCGAGCACAGAGCAACCGGGAGGCCAGTCAGCTGGATTCCACCTTCATCTAGGGGGGGCAGAGTTTCGGCTCTGCACCGGGGCGGGGTGGGGAGCATTTTGTGCAGAGGACAACAGCACCCCCCTTCCCAAAAAAACTGTGGCGATGGCTCTTGGAGAAGCTCGAAAGCATTAGGCTTTTCACTCGACTTTTGCACGCCAAGGGTGGGTCCCCGAACATTCTTAGACCCTTTGGGGTCCACGAAGGGCTGAAGCTGTAAAGGAGGAGGCTGCGTTCTGCTCCCCACCCTCCCAATTGGCAAGGGAAGGAATGTCAAGCCGGGCTCTGCATTTTCCCGGCCACCACCCCCTCCCCATGTGCAACGTACAGAAGTTTGATGCCAGTTTGATGTCGCTGGTGCTTTCTTACAGAGGGATCTCTTGGTTCCTGACCTGCCCTTTGATGCCCTTCCAGGACGCCCTGCGGTTCTGTCTGCCACTTGGGGAAAGCCGCTCCCCCAGCAAGGAAGGCGCATAGCGGCATTTACCTCCGGCGTGTTTGCCCCCTACCCGTGACACTCCACAGATGCTCGAGCATCCCACATTTCAGAGAACTTCCAAGATTGTGACAGACGTCTTAGACCCTTTGGGGTCCACGAAGGGCTTAAGCTGTAAAGGAGGGGCTGTGCTCTGCTCCCCACCCTCCCAATTGGCCAGGGAAGGAATGTGAAGCCGA